TGGCTGTCTGTAAACAGTTTTTGAATATTACGCGGTTATCCCACGGAAGTTGGTTTGTTTCGACCCGAGTATTTATATCAACTTTCGGCCAGAGCCTATAAAGTTTCATTTACAAAGACTTGCTCCAAGTTAGCACATTAGTTCTCAGGACGATTAAAAAGCTAAAACTTCAAAACTGGGGCATCTACCAGAAAACGCACAAGGAAGGCAGTCAGCATGAGTAATAATGCAGCATTTTTAAGTGCTGATGTGCATTTCAAAGCTTGTCGGAAGGTCCCAGTTAATGTTTGATTAGTTGTGGCAAGAAGTTGGTTTCCGCCGGAAGATGTATAAGTGAATGGCAGCCTAAAGTACAACCCCTTTTGCAGATTGAAACCAAGCATTTGTTATCCAAACATGGGCGTTGGATACGTCTGACGGACAAAGAGCAATGAGCTAGAAATTGTCCTTTTTATCTTCTTTGTCTTTAGCGGTACAGCACAAAATACGCACAAAATAACTCTTTGTACTGTATGTTGGGGAGAAGCCAGTGGAGATCTTTCGCGATTGAATATTCGCCTACATTATTCCTACTTCCCATCCTTATTTCTAAGCTGAATTTGCTTCACCAATATGGACAGTGGCCTAGATCATCACCGCACCGCTGACTGTCGTCTACAACCCGTTTTAATTAACAACAGGTACCATCGATCCGTGCGCACATATAGTGTCAACCGATTCTCTAAAATAACATTGTTTTTGGAAAATTTTTGCGGATTTACGTAGCAACACACTGCGCATTTCCGATCTCACTTTGTCCTACTAGTACGATGCAATTGTTAGTCTTGTGAGTAAGCTCCGCGCGATTTTGCGCCCACTAGGCAAGATGTGGTCGAATTGAAGAGAGCGGGAGCCGAACGATATTCTGACAGTGTCCGATTAATTAGCCAGGTCCCCGACCCGAGCATGTAATTGATTGAGTCTGATACTACGCTAACTCCAAATTACCGAGTAACCTAAGGCATAGACTTCAGTTCGTGGATTCTGTAAATTAGTTGTTAGTTAAAAATATTTTGACCTTCATGACGGGACAGGGTCTGGACTCAATGCAGCTCCGTAACAGTTGCGAAGCAAGTACTCGTACCATCCTACATTTTATCAAGACGTTTACCAGGGTGTCGTAGCGGCCGATGCTCCTCTGTTCAAATGTATTTCAATTGTAGTTCGCATGAATGCTAACGGAGTTACATGAATTTCGCTTTTATATCCGAGGTCCAAATCTCGTTCTATTTCGAATTTAATTTGAGAAATCAGTCAGTCTGTGGGAGGGATGATAATAATAATAGCGATGAGAAGGGGAATGATAATAATGATAATGACAATAATAATAATAATAATGCTTGTGGTGGTT